TTTTAAACATTATGCATTAATTTTATTGCCTGTCCACTTGGAGTAATAAAAATTGTTATATTAAGTGTTTCATGACAGAACAAAGAAGAAGCAACAGAGGTTTAAAAAATAAACATTTGTATTAATATAAAAATACAACAAATACTAAATTGGTGTAAATGTCTCTTCTTGAAAGAAAGAGATAATTAGAATTGTAAAAGCCATCCGCAGAGGTGTAAGGTAGGAGAGGGAGGATGAGTTGTGACTTACTGCAAGTGACAGGCTTTGGTGAGTTGTCTTTGGAGATAGGAGGTTGCATTCTGATGAGCATTGTGAATTCTGGATGTTATACCATCTGGAGATGTCTCATTGATGGGCTTTTATGTCCTTTTCTTAGGCTCAGATTGGCTCCAATTTTTATTTTGTTTCTTTAGGCAGAAGTGGGTGCTATTGGGTGGAAATTCTGGATTGTATTTTTCTTTAAGTGTGTTAGCAAAATGGAAGCTATGTGTGGAGCCAATGTGCAGTTGACAGAATTTTTAGTTCAGTCTTTGGTTTCAAAGCGTTCACATCTGGCCAGTGGTGGAAATTTGTGTAACACGAATCAGAAGATCTGATTTTAGGAAGATGTTAGATTGAAAATAAATCCATTAAATCTTTAAAAATTTATTAGAGACAACAGATATTTTGTGTTGATCAATTTTAATATTTTTAAACAAATTTTGACAGAATATAATGCCAATACACAGAGCAGAATGCATAAAAGTACACAAAGAAATAAGGAAGAAATGCAGACAGGCTAAAGAAGATTGGCTCAACAAAAAATGAGCTGAAATAGAATGAGTATCACAGCTAAAGAAGATATGCATAAAAAAAATAAGGGAACTAACAAGACAGAAGACATACTTATCAACAGACTGCATAAAATCCAAGGATGGAACACTCATATTAGAGAAAGAAAAAAATTCAGAGATGGAATGAATATATCAGTGATCACTTCCATAACAAAAGAGAACCACCAGAAATACACAGAAATACCAACAGACCAGAAATTTAAAGAACTGAAGTGGAAGCTGCACTGGCCAAATTGAACAGAAACAAAGCGGCAGGGCCAGACAGAATTGTAATAGAAATGCTAGCAGCATTAGACAATCTCGGCATAGACAAGATTACAAAAATAATAAATAAAACCTACAACAGTGGTGATATACCGGAGGACCTAAGCAGATCTATTTTCATAGTAAAGTCTAAGAAACCAGGTACAAATAAATGTGAACTCCACCAAGCAGTCAGCTTAATGAGCCACATAACAAAACTCATCATCCAAATTTTGTTGAATAGAGCATGCAGTAGAATTAGGCCAGCGATAGGACAACAATAGTGAAGGTTCATCAAAGACACCGATACAAGGAACGCGATATTCATGCTCAGAATGTTATCAGACAGAGCAATACAAATGCAGGAGGACATGTACCTGTGTTTTATAGACTACACAAAGACGTTCAACAAAGTATGCCACACAGATTTGTTAGCGCTGCTCAGCAACCTTAACATATTCAGGAAAAACATCAGAATAATCAAGAATCTATACTGGCAGCAAACCACCTGCATACAGGCAGAAAATGAGTTCAGCAGATATACAAAAATAGAAAAGGGTATAAGACAAAAATGTGTCTTCTCACCGGATTTATTCAACCTATGCAGTGAGGCGATTCTGGGAGAACTAGAAATCGTACTAGGTTTTGCCATTGGTGGCCACAATCTTAACAATATAAGATATGCAGATGACACAGTGCTGATAACAGACATGGAAAGGAAACTAAAAAACCTCCTTCAGAAGATAGCAAAAGAAAGTGAGAAGAAAGAACTAACCACAAAGACAGTACGCATGGTCATTAGCAAAAAGCTGAGCCCAAAATGAAAATTCCAAGGTCGAGTTTACTAAAATCAAGCAGGTACAGAAATTTAAATATCTGGGAAGCGTTCCAACAGAGGATGGAAAGTGTGACACTGAGATCCAAAGAGGCATTCTAAAGCTAAGCAGAGTATTAAGAGACAGGAAAATTTCATTGGAAACAAAGAAAAGTGTACTGAAGAGTACATGTTATTTGTCCTCCTGTATGACAATGAATGCTGGACAATCTCATCAAAGATAAAGAAAAAACTCAAAGTAACAGAAATGTGGTTCTACAGAAGGATACTGAGAATACCATGGGCCAAACATGTGAGCAACAATGAGGTTTTGGAAAGAATGAAAACAAAAAGGAAACTTAACATCAGGAAGAGGCAGTTGAAATGTCTGGAGCCTGTAATGAGGAAAGAGGGCTTGGAAAATCTGATACTCACAGGACAGTTTGAAGGAAAGAGAGACAGAGAGAAACAGCACATAGAATACTTGATGAGCTTGAGTAAATGGATGGTAGGTTTGAGTGAAATAACAAAAAGACAAAACTTATTAAGAACTCCAAGGGACAAGATGATGTGGTGGGCCATGGTCACATATATCCTGAAGAGACATGGCACATAAAAGAAGGAAATGCAGGAACTGTCTGTAATGGTTAGTGTCCCAAGTGCTTTCAGCTAATATATGATGAAAAAATACCCATAAGTTTTATTATCAAAATCTGTTATTATTAACAGGAAAGATCAATGGATTTTTTTATTACATTTTTTTTTCTTTTTAGAACCTTTAAAATTCTGGTTAAAAATTTGGGTTTTCTCGCATCAACAAGTGACAATGAATTGGTATGGGATATTTTTTTTAACATGTTAACCCCCACCCACTAACTTAATTTAGCTTAATGTCTATATTAGCTATAAGCACAAGTCCTTGGAGAAATTAAATCATCAGTTTTTGGGGGGTTTTTTGTCAAACAAGAGCCTCAGTTACAGAAAATCTGCTCTGAATCATAAAATAAAAATGGAATAAAACTAAGACATTATTTAATTAGAAAGCTTTCAATTGCTTTTATGAATAAGATATATTATGGAAAATATTGTCTTCAAAAAAAAATTGTTTTCAATAAATAATGCATTTTTACAAGATTTTCTTTAAACTTTAATTATAATATTTTATAAATTTTTATATTTTTATTCTGTATTTAGAGCAGTTAGATGAACTTGTTATTAAGTAAAAACTATATTTACTAATCATAAATGGAAAAGTTTACTATAATTCAGCAAACCACAGTATTTTAAAAAGAATTTTGAATTTTTTTGTAGTGTATAAATGTGCTTATTTTTGCAAATATGGACATCCATACATGACATTAACAGAAGATAAGAGTGGTAACTAGAGTAAATTTAAAATTTATTGGTAATTTTTAATATTTCTGCTACAAGTGTCTTCGCAAATAAGACTATGAAGCCAAAGTACCTTAAATTCAATAAAATATTAGATTACTTCGAATGTTTTTGTAAATTTTTTTAATACTACTGGGTAGTTAAAAAAAAAAAGATTATATATAAAGAAAGATGTTTGCATTGCATTCAGCAAGTATTTTTTTTTTTATTTATGTGCCCTCTACTTAAAAATTACCAAACATTAAGCTATTGATAAACACCTCATAAAAAACACCCATCTCCATGTTAAAACATGCTTTTCTTCAATATTTTATACTAAAAGTAATATTTGTTTTAATTTAGATTACTTAAACTTTAAATAAGTTAATCTTCCTCAAATGAAGTATATTTTATTTTTAAAGGATTTTTTTTAATAAAGAGAATTGTTTTGTTGAGAGATTTTGTCAATATGACTGATTTTAGCAATTTCAAAAAATAAATAATTCCAATCAATTTAAATTTGGCTTAAAATACAGCAAAGTATTTTGCTTATTGGAAATATTAAATTTAATCTGTTAGCTTGGAATTAAAACTAAAATAAAAGCTTCAAAAAAAATCTTTCATTTTTAAAATTCATCTAAAATGTTTTAAAGGTATCTTTTTTTTCATTTTGTTTTTCTTGGTGGATGTACCTACAGATTTTAATATTTACCAATCAAAAAAGCACTTCTCATGGTTTATCAACCACAAATCAAGTTTGCAATGTGTTTTCTGTTGCCTAATTTTCTCTACACAAATTTAAGCAACAAAGAAATAGCAGTTGTCACAGATTGTCACACAGCAGTTGTCATAGGTTGTCATACATTGTAACTAAATTTCCAAGAAAATGTTCTCAACGGAAAAATAATGCCCTCATAAAATACTTTTTCTAATTGTTTTACGAGGATAGAATCGTTGATTATTAGAATTAAATAAATTTTGTTTCATTTTTGTTTTTTCTTTATTCAAAATTCCAGAAAAAAAAAGAGAATTTTTTTTTTCAATGCTGATTTGCTTGCATTTAACAGAAAAATATTTTGAACTTGTTTCTTATTTCTTGTAATCATCTATTCTTTACAACTTGAAGCATTCATTAAGAAATAGAAAGAAAAACTTGACATATCAAAATTAATTTTTATTGCCATAATAAAACTTCTTCAGCTTTGCAGTATTAAAAAAAAAACATATTAGACAAAAAACTTATTGTACAGCTTTTGTACAAACCTTGGAAGAAAAATAGAATCATTTAAAGAAAGACAAAACTGATGAGTTTAAAAGATTTTTGCTGATGGTTAATGCTAGAAATGTGAAATTTTAGGCTTAGGCCTTTAGTGAAATCCCTCAGTGAGAAATGCTAAGAGAGGGTAAAAGGAATAAGACTTTAGTAGACAAAGAAGTAATGAACCCAAGAAGCAACAATCTATTAATTCGGCGCAACCATGATGGACTAAGAGAATACACTATCTTAAAGGTTCAAGAGATTAGAAAATTGCAACAGACTGCCAGCTGTAACCTAGGGTAGGATTTCCCGTCTAAGGTCTGGTAAATTATGCCAGTTAGAAAAACCACTGTATAAGTAGTGGTAGTGACTCCAATGGAAAAAGCACACACAAAAAAGGCTGCTTTTAATAAGATAGCAAAATGTATCACATGACCTTCGTAAGTCACATGATGCCCCAAATTTACATAGCAAAATAAAAATGATCACTAGGAATGCAGGTGTTTTTTTTTTTCTTCTCATCCCTCCTCTAACAGTAGCCATGAAGGTAAGTTTGTAACTCTTTTTCCAACAGGCCAGTGAGCTTTTTATAATTTTATGAATATTTTCATAGCCTTTCATGAAATGTTGGAAATGAGAAACATTAGGCTTGATGTGTTAATTTTGGCAAAATCAAATTTAATTTTACCTTTTCTATTATTTTAATTTATTTTTTATCTATTAATAGAAATTGTTCCTTGATGTAATTGGCATGAATCTAAGTTGTTGTTCAATTATTTTGTTTCTTCATGATTTCTCAATATGTCTTTGAGTCTTATACCATAAATTGATTTTATATTCCAACATGATTTCTTACCAAAAATTTATCAAATAAGCAACGTTTATAATAATGTTTTCAGGTGAAACATTTTCTGCTTAAATACAGGGTGTCCATAAAGTTCGTGTGCACTTTAAAAATGTATAACTTTATTTGTATTTGCAATAGAAATAATTTGTAAAAAGGATCAGAAAGAAGGGAATCTATATTTTGTAAGTTTTTATTTAAGTTTCCAAATGTCCTCCATCATTAGCAATACAAAGGGTAATACAATTTTGTAGTTCATGGAAAACATTTACCAACTGATTTACAGTAATACCTGAAATCACATTAGTTATTTTAGCTATACTTAAAACTAGGTACATTAAACTTTATAACATTTTTTACAGATTATTCCTATCACAAATAGAAATAAAGTTATAAATTTTTTTAAGTGCACATGAACTTTATGGACACCCTGTATCTCTGTGGTCCAGGAATCAGAGTTTGCAAAGATAACATTTGCTTTTTACACCAGCCAGCAGGTGATCCCCAGTTTATTGTGAAGTGCAGATTTTTCCTGTCCTTAATTCTTTAGACTTTGCTCATCTTACTCATTTTACCAGGTTACCTCTGCTTGGCAAAAAAGGTATTGTTGATAAATATACCCTGCCTGGTTGATATACAACCTGTCTATAAAGTTCCTGTTTTGCATTATTTACATTATTCGGACTGTTATCCCCATCTTCATTGCCATATTCACATGTTGGGAACAAGGCAATGAAGATGAGGATAACAGTCTGAATAATGTAAGTAATCGCAATACCTCATCTCAGGGATATAGACAGAAGTTCCTATCTGTTTTAAGGACCTACTTAACGATTTCAATCTTCTGGAAAACTGATATGCCATCATTTTGATCCCCACTCCTGATGATTTAATAAGTGTCATTTTTCATTCTATAATTATTTGTAATAATTTCACTGCATCTTATTAAGATAAATATGAACTTGATAAATGCAGTGTATTTGTCCTGAGCAAATTAACCCGATGTTCAGATATTGTTGTTCTTCATTTCTTAATTAACGAGGCAACTGACTGTGAAACAACTTAATTTTTTAGACTAAATACACCTTGAAAGTTGATAAAATGCCTTAAAAAATTTTATTGATTACAATTTTGTTAATTAAAAAAGAAAAAAAAATTTCTAGCTTTTATGTAATTTCTAATCACCCCAAATAATTCCATTTGCATCTTATTTTGTTTAAAAAAAATATCCCTTCCTTGTAAATTATCATTATAGGTTAAACAATTAGGAGCAAAAGAAAATGGTCATTAGTTGCCTGGCTGTGCTGGCCCATTTTGAAAAGAATAGAAAATTGCTATTGACACTAAATAGATTTTTTCAGATCATTGCAAAAGTCTGTCCCCAATTTTCATTGTTAACCCTAGAACACTAACCATCAATTAAAGTTACACCACTATTAACCTATTTTACATGCAGGCACTTCAAACTTTGTACTTTGAGTTAACATTAATAGGAACTGAAAAACATATTATTTAGATAAGAAAATCAGGTACTGAAAATTGTAATTAAAAATAGGAAAATTTGTGCTGGGTACTATATACCCATGGTTAGTGTTCTAAGGTTAATATAAAATTGCTACAGCTTAACACAGGTGTTTGTTTCAATGGTGATTTCTGGTATGTTCTAGATGGAAATCTTGCATCATTCAACTTAAAAGACAGACTTTGTTGATGTTTTGTTCACAAATGAATGCCTTAAAGATAGAGGATGAAAAGTTTGCACTTTCAACATACTTTCACTATGAATTTTGGAAAGGTGTAAGTGTCAGAACTGCAACAAAAAAGACTAAGAAGGTTTATTTGGATTGTGCTCTAGTAATTTGGACAGTCAGAGTGGGTTAGCAGATTTTATCATAGTGATTTTAATGTGAAAGATGAACCACGCTCCAGGCAACCTTCTGACATTCATGAAGATATAGAGAATAAACCAAAGATTTTAATGGAAGAGATTGCTAAGAGTTTGAAAATCAATATCTCAACTGCCTTTCACCATTTAAAGAGACTTGAATTCACTTCCAAACTTGACACATTGGTGATGCATTCTCTGATGGAACAGAACAAGCTTATCATATTTCTGCAGAAATTTCTTTGTTGTTACACCATGAAAAGGAGATGCTCTTGGAAGCAATGAAAAATACATTCAATGCAGAGCTGGAAACATGTTTGTGAATGTCCAGAACCCATGGTTAAAGTGGTTTTACATCCAATGAAAGGCATTGCTATCCGTTTGGTTGCATTGCAGAGGGATAATTCACTTTGTGTATCTTCCAACTGGCAAAACAATAACTGATAAGTATTGTGTCCAATTCACCAGTCTCAATGTGGATTTTCAAGAAAAACAGATGATTTTAGCAAAATCCAGAAGGTATCATTATGCACCACCACAAGACAAGACTGCATGTTGCAAAACAGACCTTTCAAAATCTGTGTATATTTCTGAGATGAGGTATTATGTACACTATTTACATTATTCAGATTATTGTCCTCATCTTTGCCGCCATATTTATTACATTTTGGCACAGTGGATAAAGGCGTTAGTTAGATCCAGTGACAGGACCAAAAGAGTGCGAGTTCAATACCCAGTTAAGGCAGTGGAGAACTTTCAGAGGGGAATTAACAGGAGATAACTGATAACTGACATCCATTAAACATGGCCAGTGAAACTAGAACAGGCTACCCCAGTGAACAAAATAAAGGGTTCAGTTTGACATTCCAACCACTTGAATGGTTGGAATGTCAAACACCGCCAGAGTGTACAATGGCCGAAATGTTGTAATAAATATATAAATAAAGATGAGGACAATAATAATGTATATAGTAGACCTTTCAGAAGCTTAAAGATTTGAAATGGGGAAACTCTTCAGCATCTCCTGTATTCTTGTGATTTGACTCTTTTGGATTTTCATTTGTTCCCGGCTCTAAAGAACAATTTAAAAGACAAAGAATTTGACTCTGTCAGTCAGTCAAACTACCAAGCATCCAACAAAAAAAAACTATGAAAATGATATCAGCAAAGTTGTAGAATGATGAGAGATATTTGTTAAAAACAATTTGATCCGAAGCCAGCAAGAGTTAACACAAGGTGCCATTTGTAAGTGGAAAGAATCGCCTTATCCACAGTGGCTTTTGTTTCTGTATTTTTATACTTACTAATTAATATATTCTCTAACTTTTTTAATTTTCAGACTAGCTAATTTATTTGTAAATTACCAAAAAAAAAAAAATGGTCATAGCACGTGTGAACTAAACATATTCGGTGTTGTTGTCATCAACTAGTGAGATTATATTTATATAAGGCAAAGAAGCAAAGAAATATTCAGAACTGTTAAGGAAGCCCCCCACCCACACACACACAGCTTGGTGGTCTGTGAAATGAAGAGGCATGGCAATAAAGTCAGCTACAACATTTCACTAAATGACCATTTGATCCAAAGACTGCAAGAGTTAAAATGAGGTGCCATTTGTAAGTAGAAAGAAGCGCTTTACTTACAATGCCGGATAATCATGCATATTGTTTTAGTAAAGGGCAATGGGACTTATACTAAGTTAAAGCTTAATTTAAAAAAAAAAAAAGTTTTTCTCTATTCCCCCACCTTATCCGTAAGTGTTCCAGTTGAGATGTTGGCAACTAAACCAACTACTCCACTCCAAATTCCGAGTGAGGCAGCTCGTTAGCAAGCCAGTAGGATGAAAAACAAAACCTAACAAAGGGAGGAAGATCTCACTGAGTCAACAGCCAGCTAACTGTAAGTGGTGTCTCCATAAACCACTATGGAGAAGGCAATGGGAAACCATTCCACTATCAATCCCAAGACAAATCGTGGGAATGATGTACTTGACTAATAAATGTTTTTTGTATGTAAAAATATTTTTGTTTTTATTTTCTAATTAGGCCCAAACATTTGTAACGATCTAATATAAAAAGCCAAAGATGGCATTTTCTGATGTGTAGTACCATTTTGGTTGTGATCAGGATACTCTACAGAACATACTAAGCTAAAGAACAATACTAACAACCAGTATAATAAAAGTCAATAACAAAAACAATTGTATTATACACTACTATATGACTACACTGGTTTGGAAACATTTCACAACATCTTTAAAACATATATTTGTCAATAGCAGGCCAAATAAGTTTTGTAATGATGTACACTAACATCTACAGCAGTGGAAGTGTTAAAAGCACTTGTAATGTGTCATATAGAAAGAAAATGAATAACGACCGACAACATGGTTCAAATGTGACACTCTGCACTTATGTGTGAACTATTGTGCATTGATGTTTTGGGTTTTCGCTTAGGATTTACCAGACCTTAAGTTGAGTCATGCTACTAACAAAGTATTCACTGAAATGGTTAATAATCTTTGGTTGACTTTTTACTTCTTTGTTCTTAAGTATTTATTTGCAGTTGTAATTAAATACTGTTTTGTTTTAATATTAGTCTTGAATTATACTTAATTCTTAACGGCTACCGTATGTCACAAAATAATGTTTGAGTTGAGACAATGAGAAACTAAAGTAATTTTTGGCGTAATGGCCTTTCTTCCATCCCTTAAAACTGAATTGAAAAACTGCAAGATTTTGATCTTCAAGTAAAATTCATCATTATAGCTAGGCATTAATGAGATCCATTCCCTGAATACTGTGTACGAATTATCTTTCCTCAGACAACAAAGTTAAATTGTCCATGGGCTACTGCCACATGTATCCCTGGTGATTAGTAATAAGGGTATTTTACCAAGTGTAATCTACTGCTTTACAAAAAGGATTAACTATTTTTGCCTGATACCTATATCAGCATCATATCTATATGAATACATGGGAAATTGGAACTCAATTCTCCCACAAATTCTGAGGTTAAAAGGTCCCAACTCTACTTTATATTAATTTACAAACGGTATTTTCTCTGTCCAACCCACTTGGACAAGATGTGACACAAGGTCACTTTTTAGGTGGGAACCCAAGCGTGTACACTCGGGACAGGAACAAAAATTCCCCTTAGCCCCCACAACCATCGGTTACACTGGCCTCAGTGCAAGCACTGAACCCTGTGCAATGGGAGTATTATTTTCCCAGTTGCCGACATTTAACAGTCACCCCCCAGGAGGAATGTATGTGGCACAAGGCCGAGTTTAACGTGGGTTTCTCCGAGTCTGTAGGCTCGGCCAAAAATATTCCCTTAGAACCCGCATAAGCGGCTTCAGAATCTGCCTACCTCCCCAAACAAAACTTTGCCCTTTGGCAAAGCTTCATCCGGGTTCCTCTCTGCCAAAGCAGAGAGTTCCACAGAAGTCGCAAACAATCAGAAAACTGCGTTCAGACTGTTGCCATGTTATTTATTTTACAAAAGTACAAATATGGTACAAGGCTGAAAAGTGGGAAAAGGATGGTCATCTTCTGTCTTACCATTAAACTTAGCTAGTCACAATCACTGATCCAGACATACCAACAATATTCCTTTCACCAAAACAACTCATTCTTACTTCATCCACCTTAATGCCTCAGAGACTCTATGAAGTCCTAACTAGTCCCCATATATACAATTCATTGTCTGTGGGGGGGAAGGGAATAAAATAAAAATTAAAAAATCTAAAAACCCCAATGAGTATTTACAAATGTTCACAAAAATCTATGTACAAGAAACTAAACAAAAACTGTTGCCACTAAAAACTCAATATCTGTATTATATATTATCTAGTACTAGGTGATATCACTCTTCAGGTTTAACTAATTTGCATATTGATTTTAAAATAGTTTATTTCATTAATTAACTGTCTTTTATTACTGTTCTTTTATTCAAGGATTATTTTGATTCTCATATCAAAAATAGTCTGGTTAGGAATATTGTCTTATATAGTGCAGAAGAATGTTTTAAATTTGCATTTTACTTGGCCTTCAACAAGTTGGCATCTATTTGTAAAACTTTCCTTAGCTATAACAAGCCTGGCACCCAACCAATTAATTTCTTCTGTCTTTAGTCATATTCTTTGAACAAATATATTGAATGTTCACAACCCCTTCAACATTTCATAAATAGTGAATATCAATCCCATAAAAAAATAACTAATTTTTCCTAAAAATTATCAAATAGCAAGTGGGTGAAGCCTACTAGTACTTTATAAAAATAAACATTATGAGAAGTAAAGTCATCTGCAATTATAAGTGGCGGAAGTAATTATGAACTGAATATAACATTTGTCAATAAAATATATCTTTTAAATTTACTATTAGAGGTACTTTTTGCTACTATATTTTTCATATAATTGCAATATAGGTATCATGTTTTCCTGCCATGAAGAATTCTAGCATGGTTATTAAAAATTGGGTTGGAGAGGTGACTGTACTCAGAATTGACAGCAGCACGCCAACTAGCATCTAGCAAAGCTTCTCAGGTATATTCTTCCTGAAAGCCACATGAAGATCAGCAAAAGTTGATAATTCTTAAGGCAAGTTTTCTGATATCAGTTCAAAGTCGAGTTTCCATTCCACTCATGTTAGATTGCATCTTCAACCTACAGAGAAACTGATTGCAATTTGCCAGTCTCTCACACTCAGCCAACTTTTGCTCTCTCTATATGTGCAAAAGTGCTACTTGACCTATCCAACCCTAAACATATTTACTTAACTCTTATCTTCAAACGAACAAAGTCGCCTGCTGTCTCTCATTGTCCTTGACTATGGAAATGACTCATCATCAACATTTGTAAATGACTTGTTCATGCTCAGGTGCTAACTTGTTGGGAAACATCTAAAAGGAAAATGAAAATCTTGAGGATCAAGATTTAATTAGGAAGGAGGAGATAAATAATTATCTTTTACTTGTTTTTTTTATTTAAAGAATTTTATTTATTTATCCTGGCATTCTATTTCTATTGAACCTTTTGTTTATTGTAGTATGCTTCAGTTTATTCATTTAATAATTATGAATAAAAAAAAATTACTGTACATTTCAGATAGGAAAATAAAATTAGCACATTAAGAATTTTCCAGAGATATACAATGTGATAAATCCTGACCTGGTATTTTGACTCCAGTCACTTTCTCACAGACGTGCTGTGGCTTCCCTTTGTCTTTGCTACAACTATTTTCATGGCAACTGCTTTGACGAACTGCTTGCACTGGTAGCCCAACTGCATGAATTTAAGCATGCTACTAGGTTGGCATCTCGACCCACCCTTTCACTGTCAAAACAGTTAAATGTAACTGCCTCTTCTACTCCAACAGCTTCTTCTCACACTTCCCACCAGTGGAACTCCCTTCCTCTTTCTTGCTTCCCTGATAACTATAATTTTCAAAAATTTAAATGTAATGTCAATCAACATCTTCTGATGCCTTGATCCTGATCCCCCATCCTTCTCTTTATCCTTTCCTCAAACACCCCTCTTTACTCTCTCACTCTCTGTAACCCCCTGTGTGCTAGTAATTTCCAGTCCTGACTAAGACAAGGATCCATCTTGGCACCTATGTTATTCTCTTTGTATATGGCTTCTCTGATGTTTATAATCTTCAAATATTTAAATGTAATGTCAATCGATATCTTCTGATGCCTTGATCCTGATCCCCCATCCTTCTCTATATCCTTTCCTCAAGCACCCCTCTTTACTCTTACTCTCACTCTCTGTAACCCCTTGCATGCTAGTGGCACTCATGACTTGCTTGGAGTGAAATGCATAAAAAAAGGTGCAGGAAAAGAAGAAGAGAATGTGCATTTCTTAAGAGGGTGATTTAACTTTACTTGGCTCTGAAGCTCTCAGTGGCCAAATAGTCTAAAGACAGGCTGAATCAGATAATGATTTCCACCCTATTAAAGGGGATGCAGATTCATGCCCTGTACTTTTTCTTTATTAAAATCCTCTAATATACAAGCATATAGGAGGCATGCTGGAGTAATGGATTGCAGCTCAGATTAAGGAATCAGAGAGCTGAGTTCGAATTCCCGTCAAATCCATTACATTCACTTACATGTTAACAGCCTTGGGAAAGGTATGAATCCTATTCTTCTGCTCCCAGCTATGGGTAAATAGCAGGACAGACCATGTTCTATAGCCTTGAACAGCAACTGCTCTACTGCAGAAAGAAATGGCAACCTACTGTGGGAAAAAAATCTGCCTTGTCAGTCATGATACATGATCACCTAGGTATGTATCACACATAACTGACTGACTGAATATACAAGCTGGTAGATGTAATTTACAATGTTTAAAAAAAACAGGGTGTTTAGTCAAATATGTGTATTCACTAAAATATAACACTGAAGTAATTAAAAATAATGTTGGATTAAAAATTAATCCATTAATTCATTAGAAAAATTATATATATATATATATATATATATATATATATATATATATATATAAGAACATTAGTATGAACAGTCTGTTGTCCCTGAGTGTTGACATTTCCTGATCTAATTTAACTTTCACCAGTAACTGTTTTATATATATATATTTATATATATATATATATATATATATATAAGAGAGAGGGGGAAATAGACTTGTATCAATAAATACACACTAAATTTAGGAACATAACTAATGAATCAATTAATTTTTTAAAATAATTTTATGTAATTTTTTTTTCACCCATTTTATTATTAAAGCCCATTTTATTTAAACTATCCCCATCCAAACAGACATTTTGCCTTTTAAAATGTTACATTCAAGTTTTAAAATCTATCAACATTTTCTATTGATATTAAATTTGTAAAACTCTTGTATAAAAATAACCCATGTAAATGTATATGGAATAATATGGAAAAGAATGAAGATTTTCAATAAAATATGCATATTATATGCACCTTTTCAGTCAGACAATTTTGAAAAGGGTAAGAATGACAATCTGTTGTTGAAAACAAAGCTTTGGGTAAAAAAGATTGAAAAACACTGCACAAAAGATTTAGGATGATGATTACCAATGCTGCATGCCAGTAAAAAAAAAATTGCAAGTTTGAAGCAACATAATCTTCCTCCAGCTAATTATGTTTGATTGATTATTTGTTTTAACGGAAGATCAACTCTATCAGTCATTTAATACTGAAAAGATTTCTATCACTCCCCAGTTATGCTTCTAGAGTGTGATGAATGAACAACCCAATGGATTGTTTACAAGCCGTAGATTTTATTTAATCCAGCACAGTTGGTATATGTATGCATATATGAAAGTTATGCATGATGGATGTTTAAAATTGGGAAGCCAATGCTATCAAGAGAAACAAGTGGAAAGTTAGGATCAAGAGCAAGCAATAAGCACATGACCAGAAAGAAACAGATCATTGGTGAAAAGACTCTACAATGTACAAGTACTGAATGCAATCGCATCTGTTTATCCCCCAAGCAGCCCTTATCAATCATATGAAATATTATACACTGAGACCCGTCTCTAACTACCAAGCTGATTAAGTTGAAAATAATTTTACCTGCACGCACCATAGTACATTCTAATCAATCTGGTCTGTCTAGATGCTTGAAAACCCTAACCAGCAATCCAAGGAGGAAAAACCTTCTCAATGATCAATAGCCAACATCTGCTGGCTGTGCAGTAAATCTTGCCAATTACTTTCTGGTTTCAAGAGTCATGGTCAGTCTTATGATTGTTAACGCTTGTCAGTGATGGTCATACTCATGTATGTATTGTGTGTATGTGTGTGTGTATATCTACATTCAACACCATCACTTGATAAGACACCAGAAGTGTTGAAACAAAATGGCTATTTTTGTAGTGATTTATAACATATTTATGTTATAATTTTCGAATAAATAAAATTATATATATATATATATATATATATATATATATATATATATATATGTAAAATGAGAACAAATGGTGTATAATTCCACTGTCCATAACATTTAATTTAAAAGAGGCTCAATACAGAGTAGAGCTAAATATTATTTATTTCAGGATATTTAAACAAAAAACATATTAAAAATTGCTACACAATTACAATTATGTTTCGACACTTGTAGTATTCGAAACATAATTGTAATGGTGTAGCAATTTTAACATGTTTTTGTTTAAATATCCTAAAATAAATTATATATATATATATATATATATATATATATATATTGTCAAATGGAAATTTATGATCTATGTGCAGTTGGTGTCTGTAAAGTGTGGAGAGCCAGTTGTTTCAGTGGCAACAGTGACTTTGAAACTGGGAATCTTTAATGCAAGAGGGAATCTCAAACAAGAACAAAAGTTTCATTATCTTGACATCTCGGGTCAAAAATCCGCACTTTTGCACTACTTGTGACCTTGTCTGCCAATCATTGGCAGGACTCAAATGTCATGTCAGACACAAACACTTGAACTAATTTATTTGTTAGACATTCAAACCTTGAAATTGACTCGAGAGTCTATCATTTTATATACGTATGAATAAAGAAAAAAAGGAACATTTTTTTCTTTGTTGATGTGTTTTATCCTCATCAACTTTCTGAAGGCAAATGTAAGGATTTGCTTTGAATAAATCCATCAGAGGATAAAACACATCAGCAAAGAAGTTTACCTTTTATATTTATTCTCATTTCTTTTTACTTATATCTAGATTTTTACATACATAATATTAGTGGTCAATGTGTGTGTGTGTGTGTGTGTGCGTGTGTATATATATATATATAATATTAGTGGTTAATGTGTGTGTGTGTATATATATATATATATATATATATATATATATATATAATATTAGTTGTCAATGTGTGTGAGTGTATATATATATATAATATTAGTGGTCACTGTGTGTGTATATATATATATATATATATATATATATATATATAATATTAGTGGTCACTGTGTGTGTGTATATATATATATATATATATATATATATATATATAATATTAGTGGTCAGTATGTGTGTGTGTGTGTGTGTATATATATATATATATATATATATATATATATATATATGAATTCCCAAGAGGATAGAATCCAGTTAGAACTCAATGTCCAGGACAGAGTAAGAATATAATATAAAAGGCTCAAACACTAATATTCCATGCTTATAATTTATTACATTGGAATCGTAATCATGATGCAATTCATCTGATGAATTGGATCGTGATTACAATTCCAATGTAATAAATTATATGCATGGAATATTAGTTTTGGAGCCTTTTATATTATATATATATAAGGACACATATAATTTAATTTGAACACAGACAACCTTAAGGGTCCATTTATTATATTTTATTTTCCCAGGAAAGTGATTTTTTTCTGGTTCTTCAGATCACATATCCAAGCATAAAAAAAATGGTATTAAATTTACATATTATTTTTATACACCATTTGAGAGGTAGTTTTAAGTTGATGTAAGGTAATAGGGAGAGATTGAAGAGGAGTATGACAGATATGGTCAAAATTAGAGAAGGATGGGAGAGATAGGAATAATTTTAAATTTATTCTTATTAAAATACTTAAGATTAAAAGAGGAGATGGTAAGGACCAGATATTGATGTATTTAATAAGTCATCTCACAGGAAACGAAACAGAGAAATAAAAAAGAAAAGATATAAGAAAGTAAATGTGGAAGCAGTGGTGGGAGGAAAATGTGGGGAAAGAAGAAAAGGTAGAATAAATTAACATATATAGGCATATTGCAGTTAATGTAAAAAAAAACACAGATTAATATATTTTGCAGTTAATGTTTGACATTAATTTAAAAATTATCAACAGAATAAAATAGGATTAAAGATAAAAAAATATAATGTGAATATAAGATAAACAAAGTAAGTCCATTCAAGGACCATCAAGAGAACAGTGAATAAGTTTAAAAAAAGAGGGAACAGTGGAGAGGAAAACTGGATCAGGAGGTCACAACAACAAGAGGGATCATCATTTCAACTTAGAGCTAATACATTCTTATTGTTCAAAGTAGAGTCCAGTAGAGATATAAAAACCTTGGAAAATTCCAGTAAGATATCTTTAATCATTTCTAAGATACAACAGTTCAAAGCTTAATCTAACAATTGGACACTTTGCTGTATGACATTGCAGCACAGATTTGGCATCACAAAAAATTTGGTGTTAGTGTAGTTAATTCCATTCAACTCTAGAGTGGCCCAAATCTATCCCCTAACATGTGAAGATAGTGAAGTGTTTGCTATAGCCACCTGACTATTCGAATTTAGGATTTTAAATCTGATTCTTTTTGTAATATCAGCACTGATAAAACTCTCTGAGCTTCCTGTGTCAACTAGAGCATTCATTTCTAACCTGTTTATTTTTGCCGTTAATATAGCCTTTGAAAGACATTTAGAGTTTGCAGTCGATATGATACTAGTCACAATAGGAGCATTCAAACCAGGTAAAAAAAACTTGATCAACAACTCTTACAGAATTGTCCCTTCTTCCTGCACTTGTGGCATTTAGTTTCCCTGGCTGGGCAACATGGCCTGGGATGTAGTTTGAGACCACAAAAATAACATTTTCACCTGGCTGCATCTCTAGCAGTATATGCAGTGTCTTTCAGAGAGAGATTTTAATCTGGTGGAGGGGCAGAAACGAGGAAGTTTGTTGTATAGGACTGTCTTTTTTACCCTGTTTGGGTTGTTTGAACTGGTGGACTAGTAGGAGTGTGAGTACTTAGTGCAGACTCTATAACACTTGTTTGTAGGTATGAACAAGATAGCTTTTCTGCCATCTCCAAGATAAGTGCCTGATTGTGAGCAGTAGCTAAATCTAGTTGTTTATTTTACAGCAATCTTTGATGGATATAGTTCAATTCTAATCCATTTATAAAGGAGTCTCTGACAAATTTCTCCTTTGCCTTATCTGCTGTCGTCGCTTGAAAGTCACAGTCTTGACTTTTTTCAGGTGCTGAAGATACTGTTCTAACCCCTTCTCAGGTGATTGGTGGGTAGTTGCTAATACATGCTGGGAAAAGATTATGTTTTGTCTCTTTACAAAAATTCCATACAATAGCACTCTGGTAAATTTTGCAGTGAGAAATATTAGTATATATAGATATGGAAATGTAGTGCATTGGCAGGTTAAGCCGATCCGTATCAGTAATAGGAATGGATGAACTGTTTTTCAGTACAAGCAAGAATCCTTTGAATAATCATTTCCAATATTGACAGGCATCATTAGAAGATGGGTCTGCAGTGTCTAAGTCGAGACATTCGGGTTTAAGGTATTTGCCCATACTTATGTTCAATAAATTGTAATGAAAACTTAGTCTAGTTCAACTTAATGTGCCTTTATTAAATGAACGTAACTGAAGAGTTTTGCATTTTGGCTTAGACATCATGACTTATGCAAACCATAAGACAGGGGAGGTAATCAGTTTGTCTTGCCACAGTGATTTTATTGAATATATTTACTCTTTAATATTTCAAGATATTTTTGTGTAATTTTGGTAGATATATTTGTTAAAAAGAGATGTCAGTGTTGTTTTCATTTTTGCTTAATTTAGACAACAATTTATCCATCTCAACCTGGATATAGATAGATAGATAGATGGATATATATACATATATATATATATATATATGACAGAGATGGAAATAGACTTGTATCAATAAATATGCATTTAATTTAGGAACACAAATAATAAATTAACTAATTTTTAAAAATAATTTTATGTAATTTTTTTTTCAACAAATTAAAGCCCATTTTATTTAAACTATTCCAATCCTAACAGACATTTTATGTAATATTTTGTTGGTAGTAACTTAAATATAGTTATATATTCATACATTTCTTTTTTAAAAATATATTTTGTCATCAACAGCATCTTTTAATTGAAAGACACTTTTCAAAAATAACTTTTACACTTGATTTCTTTCTGACAATGTGAAATAATTTGTTTCAATTATGTCTAATTTCCTATTAGAATGAGTTTCTGGAGGCAAGAAAGCATAATTTATTGCCAAAAACTTGGTTACTTATGATTCCATTAAAATATCTTGCACAATTTCTGGCTGTTCGGATAGACCCATATCTAGATACCAAAGTGTGAGAGAATACAATGATACATTTGATGAACAAAAGGAAAATGATTTTATCCAAAATACCTGCTGAAAATAGTGTGACTATCATCAATAAGTACAGAGTGTAGGTGCGGTCTATAAAGGTTGCACATTCCTTAGAGATTTTTTTTTTTTTACTCCATGTCTTAAGTCATCAGTTGAAAAATCAAATAACTGAATATATCTGGAAATCTTTGGAATTAATCAGATTAAGTCTGAACATGATGCTTTTCATTCTTCTCATTGAAATTCCAAATTCCTTCCCTGTGAGACATTCTCTGCACATTTGGAATCACTAATCAGTGAAACCAGGACCAATTGCATAAAGTGATAAGGAAGGATGAATCAAAATTACAGATCTTGTTTGATGGTCCAAAAGGGTTTAATAAAAAAAAAAAAAACTATCACCTGTACTACAATTATATCAATTGTCAAATATGCAGAGCCCTATATCCTCACACACCTTACTATTTAAAAAGTGTATCAGTCGATTAAAGTAATTATCTATACATTTGGTCTTGAAATATTGGATAAGGTTACTTTAGTATACATTCAAAATCAAATAATTCTTCAGATTTTAGAAAAGAAGGATTTACGTCTAGCCTAGTTGAGTAATGCAAAGGTTTATAAATTTGGTAACATGATAATTATGAACTGAATCCTTGGATCAGGCAAAGAAAACATTGTCTCCATGAAAACCAGGTAAACAATAACTGAACAAAAAAAATATCCTTAGAACAATTGTTCTAGATTAAACTAGCAGCCTTACCCACAGCTGGTTGATCATAAAAAGCATTCAATTAGAATGGAGTAAAAACAGCATCATGTTTAGATGTAACAAAGTTTATCTTCTTCAATTACTTTAAAGCAACTTCATTAAAAAACATTTTGAATTCATGCAGTTACTGATATAACAAAAGTTATCTGTATTTATTCAATTGAAGTTAGCTGAGGAGTGAAACAGGCAACATGAAGACCCACTTCAGACAACAATTATTTGGGAGTTTTTGAAATTCAATTTGTCAATGTGCTACCAGGGATGTAAAAGAGGATACATTTATAAAGCAATTGTTAAATTTGATGAAAATTAGTTGAAAGATCAGCAAAAAAATAAGAAACCAATAAAAATTGCCATTTTACACTATTTACATTGGTTTTCACTACATGGTTGGATTCAATTATCAAGTTAAATGATTGTTAAACAATCAATTTATTGTTGGCTACAATTGAGTGAAGTTTGTATTAAAGTGCTTGGAAATTGAGGGAGTTTTTAGTTTAAAATTTGTGTTGAAATCAATTTTTTGTTTTTCATGGTTTTTCACTAAACGCAGTGGCATAGAAATAAAAATGAAGTATTATTGAGCTTGTCATGATGTAAGTAACCTACATACCAAGTTGAAAAAAAGTTGAATTTATTGATTTTTGATCAGCTCTATCGATTATTGATTTTTTTTTTAAAAGTATCGATTTTTTATGCTAAGAACCTATCTCTTACATTGTACAATGTATGTGTCAAGTTTGGTCAAAATTGGTTAGATGGATCGCGAGTGAAAAGGTATCAAACAGACTAACACACAGACATCCTTTGTTTTATATATATTTCAATGCCTCTCCTTGAACTACACAGCCTTTCTTCACACTTACATTCATGGAGGTAGTTGATCTTGCCCTTGTATCATGGTCATACTGTGATGATTTGAAGAATTAAACCAAAACCTGATTTAAAGCCTTTTGGTAATTTCCTGTTATTTGCAACAACTAAAAAAACTTGAAAAAATTGTGTTTCCAATAAAGCTAACAGCCTGTTACCCATGAAGCAGAAATAGAATTATTTGCTTTTCGGCATTCTTGAGAATGTGTCTCACCATTTTTGGACAGATTAGTGATTGGTGGAGAAAAATAGTTATTTTATAAAAATACTTGCTAAGTGTTTGAGGGTATTGCATTAGTGAGTATCACTTTGAGTTGCTACTAGTCAGTGCAAAAGTTACAGCAGTTAAGGTGTTTAAACACTGTTTTGAAGGAAAATAGACCTATTATCACCAATATCATAAAGGTATGTATAAGGTATAAATTGTAGTAATTTATCGTCCTATACAATATAGATCATATCTAAAAAGATTGACAATCTCAATTAAAAATTCCAAACCCTTTTGTTTATTATTTATACTATTTATATCATTAGGACTGTTGTTCTCATCTTTATTGCTATATTCATAATGTTTCAGCCATGTATGCTCCGATCATCTTCAGGTGTCCCCAAGGATACATGGCCCAGTGCATTGAGTAATCCAAAAAGTAACTTGACACAAAGAACTGTGAGTTCAGTACCTGGCCACAGCAAAAGGAACAAAAAACTTGGAGAGTTTAGTTACTAAAAGGATACTGCAATATCCACAAAAATGGAATGGCATGTGGAATTAGAGCAATTTACCCTCGTGGAGTAAATAAAGGATTTGGTATGAAATTCCAGCATATATCACCTGAAGAAGGTCAGAGTGTACAACGGTCAAAACATTGTGAATATGGCAGTAAAGATGAGGACAACAGTTCAAACAATGTATACCCTTTCAAATTCAATTTGGGAGTAATCAAAGTCATTTTGGAACTAAGCAAATTCATAATGAAATAGCCAAGTTCAAAATGGAATAGTCAAATTCAAAATGGGACATAGCAAATTCCGAATGGGATAGTCATATTCAAAATGGAATAGTCAAATTTAAATTGGGAGATAGCAAATCCTGAATGGCATAGTCAAATTCCAAATAGAATGTAGCAAATTCAAAATGGAATAGTAAAATTCCAAATGGGACATAGCAAATTCCAAATGGGATAGTCAAATTTAAATTGGAAGATAGCAAATTCCAAATGGATAAGGCAAATTCAATTTGGGACTGAGCAATTATTTTGCTAAAAAAGACTTTAAAATTAAATATTTTCATGATAAAATAATAATGTTCAACTAAACTTTACTATTGAAATGTTTTATCTTCAAGGAGAATTCAATAAATCAAGACAATTCATGAAAGGTGCATGGTTTTTGGATGCAGCTTTCAACACTTAAAATCTCTCACTATAACTATCCTTTTTCAAACTCTGTCTTGATATATGCATTCAGTATTTCCTTGCTGTTTTTTCTTAGGACTTTCAAGGTTTACCCTGTTGTCTCCCAAATCATTTCATTTTGAATACTTCTCTCTTATTCTCTCTTTTTTAACACTATATACAGTCTATTTATCTCTTTCTACTCTTCTCCTTTATTGTCTCACCAATGAAAGAGCCAGAAACTATAACTTTGACACAAATTTATCCATTCAAGAATAGCCTCCTGTAAGCAATTGATAGTAAAATCTATGCAACACTGCACTCCAATTTCAAGAATAGCCTCCTGTAAGCAATTGATAGTAAAATCTATGCAACACTGCACTCCAATTTCAAGAATAGCCTCCTGTAAGCAATTGATAGTAAAATCTATGCAACACTGCACTCCAATTTCAAGAATAGCCTCCTGTAAGCAATTGATAGTAAAATCTATGCAACACTGCACTCCAATTTCAAGAATAGCCTCCTGTAAGCAATTGATAGTAAAATCTATGCAACACTGCACTCCAATTTCAAGAATAGCCTCCTGTAAGCAATTGATAGTAAAATCTATGCAACACTGCACTCCAATTTCAAGAATAGCCTCCTGTAAGCAATTGATAGTAAAATCTATGCAACACTGCACTCCAATTTCAAGAATAGCCTCCTGTAAGCAATTGATAGTAAAATCTATGCAACACTGCACTCCAATTTCAAGAATAGCCTCCTGTAAGCAGTTGATAGTAAAATCTATGCAACACTGCACTCCAATTTCAAGAATAGCCTCCTGTAAGCAATTGATAGTAAAATCTATGCAACACTGCACTCCAATTTCAAGAATATGATATTTGTTTATTGAAATGCGCAGATAAGTTTGAAACATTTTTCTTTCTATCATTGTAACTTACAAAAAATGAATACATCCGGCAGTTTGAAATATTAATAGCTTTGTAAAAATGGCGTAATTGATATAAGTTTCAACCACCAATGTCAAAAGTCCTGATATATACTAGAGTATGCTACAGTTATGTTTTGTCATCTTGGAGATTTGTGATATGTAGCAATTATACATAAAAGTATATATAGGGTACGTTGTAAAAATTAAATCATAAATATTTCAGAAAAAAATACAAAAGAAGAGATTTTGATTAATCCCAAATTGAACTTGAAATGGTATAGATAGTTACAATACCTTATCACAGATATATAGACATATACTTTCCTTATCTTATTCTCTCTGATTACCAGTTATCCTAAAGTTTATAGAACCATCTTGATGGACAAATTCTTAAAACTCATAAAACTACATTCTCTACATTCTTTTTCACAAATTCAGTTGAACATTTTTCATATTCTTCTCCTCTGATTTTTATTCTTATTCTTCAGATCTTATTTTTTCTTATTCTTTATTCTTATTTTCATTCTTATTCTTCAGATCTTATTTTCATTCTTATTCTTCAGCTCTTATTTTCATTCTTATTCTTTAGATCTTATTTTCATTCTTATTCTTCAGATCTTATTTTCATTCTTATTCTTCTTCTGCTCTTATTTTCATTCTTATTCTTCAGCTCTTATTTTCATTCTTATTCTTCTTCTTCAGATTTTATTTTTATTCTTATTCTTCAGCTGTTATTTTCATTCTTATTCTTCAGATCTTATTTTCATTCTTATTCTTCAGATCTTATTTTCATTCTTATTCTTCAGATCTTATTTTCATTCTTATTCTTCTTCAGATCTTATTTTCATTCTTATTCTTCAGATCTTATTTTCATTCTTATTCTTTCTTTAGATCTTATTTTCATTCTTATTCTTCAGCTGTTATTTTCATTCTTATTCTTTAGATCTTATTTTCATTCTTATTCTTCAGATCTTATTTTCATTCTTATTCTTCAGCTGTTATTTTCATTCTTATTCTTTAGATCTTATTTTCATTCTTATTCTTCAGATCTTATCTTATTTTCATTCTTATTCTTCAGCTGTTATTTTCATTCTTATTCTTCAGATCTTATTTTCATTCTTATTCTTCTTCTGCTCTTATTTTCATTCTTATTCTTCAGCTGTTATTTTCATTCTTATTCTTCAGCTGTTATTTTCATTCTTATTCTTCAGATCTTATTTTCATTCTTATTCTTCTTCTGCTCTTATTTTCATTCTTATTCTTCAGATCTTATTTTCATTCTTATTCTTCAGATCTTATTTTCATTCTTATTCTTCTTCTGCTCTTATTTTCATTCTTATTTTCATTTTCTTATTCTTCAGATCTTATTTTCATTCTTATTCTTTCTTTAGATCTTATTTTCATTCTTATTCTTCAGCTGTTATTTTCATTCTTATTCTTTAGATCTTATTTTCATTCTTATTCTTCAGATCTTATTTTCATTCTTATTCTTCAGATCTTATTTTCATTCTTATTCTTCAGATCTTATTTTCATTCTTATTCTTCTTCTTATCTTATTTTCATTCTTATTCTTCAGCTGTTATTTTCATTCTTATTCTTCAGATCTTATTTTCATTCTTATTCTTCTTCTGCTCTTATTTTCATTCTTATTCTTCAGCTGTTATTTTCATTCTTATTCTTCAGATCTTATTTTCATTCTTATTCTTCTTCTGCTCTTATTTTCATTCTTATTCTTCAGATCTTATTATTATTATTATTATTCTTCAGCTGTTATTTTCATTCTTATTCTTCTTCTGCTCTTATTTTCATTCTTATTCTTCAGCTGTTATTTTCATTCTTATTCTTTAGATCTTATTTTCATTCTCATTCTTCAGCTGTTATTTTCATTCTTATTCTTCAGATCTTATTTTCATTCTTATTCTTTCTTATCTTATTTTCATTCTTATTCTTTAGATCTTATTTTCATTCTTATTCTTCAGATCTTATTTTCATTCTTATTCTTCAGTTATTATTTTCATTCTTATTCTTCAGATCTTATTTTTTTCATTCTTATTCTTTTAGATCTTATTTTCATTCTTATTCTTCAGATCTTATTTTCATTCTTATTCTTCAGATCTTATTTTCATTCTTATTCTTCTTCTGATCTTATTTTCATTCTTATTCTTCAGATCTTATTTTCATTCTTATTCTTCTTCTGCTCTTATTTTCATTCTTATTCTTCAGATCTTATTTTCATTCTTATTCTTCTAGATCTTATTTTCATTCTTATTCTTCAGCTGTTATTTTCATTCTTATTCTTCTTCTCTTATTTTCATTCTTATTCTTTAGATCTTATTTTCATTCTTATTCTTCAGATCTTATTTTCATTCTTATTCTTCAGCTGTTATTTTCATTCTTATTCTTCAGATCTTATTTTCATTCTTATTCTTCTTCTGCTCTTATTTTCATTCTTATTCTTCAGCTGTTATTTTCATTCTTATTCTTCAGATCTTATTATTATTATTCTTATTCTTCAGCTGTTATTTTCATTCTTATTCTTCTTCTGCTCTTATTTTCATTCTTATTCTTCAGCTGTTATTTTCATTCTTATTCTTTAGATCTTATTTTCATTCTCATTCTTCAGCTGTTATTTTCATTCTTATTCTTCAGATCTTATTTTCATTCTTATTCTTTAGATCTTATTTTCATTCTTATTCTTTAGATCTTATTTTCATTCTTATTCTTCAGATCTTATTTTCATTCTTATTCTTCAGATCTTATTTTCATTCTTATTCTTCAGCTGTTATTTTCATTCTTATTCTTTAGATCTTATTTTCATTCTTATTCTTTAGATCTTATTTTCATTCTTATTCTTCAGCTGTTATTTTCATTCTTATTCTTCAGATCTTATTTTCATTCTTATTCTTCAGATCTTATTATTATTCTTATTCTTCTTCTGCTCTTATTTTCATTCTTATTCTTCAGCTGTTATTTTCATTCTTATCCTCAGATTTCATTCCATCTGATTGCCAATTATTCTGGAATTTATAGACCCTTCACTTGAGATATTCTTAAACTGTATGAAGATAGAGAATCTATTCTTTCTATCTTCTTTTCCTGCAAACCAAGAATTTTACAAGACCTGTGTTACAAAGATCATGAATTATTGGAAGGAGTTTTTTGTTAACAATAGAATCAATGAATAAATTCTAAATAAACAATCATTTTCTGACTCTGTATTCAGATATTACTTATGGGATAGCCTGATGTATATCTATATATATATAAAATGACAGGAATTTGAATTCTGGTTGAACATTGCTTTTTACCTTGTCATTTTTGTGACATTAAATTTGGTATCCGTGTTTCTATTTTTCCCTTTAGGAATCTGACACTTACAAAAATACTTGAGCCTTTCATGATAGCATTTACAGCCCATAACAAAATTGTCTTTGTTATTTTTTTTTTTTTTTTTTTTTGATTTCATAACCACATTTTTTTCTCTGCTCTTTACAATAAAAAAGAAAGAAAAGACAAGATTCATCTTAACAGATATTACAGAATTCTGTCATCTTTTCCAAGGCAAAGAAAGAAATAAATATTTAGTGACAGTCTCTCTTTTCTCGTTCTTGAAGATCAGTTTTATTTCTTGTAACTTTGTCAATCCATCATTTCCTGTATATTTTTTTCAATCTTTATTTTTGGTTGTCAGCCGTCTTTTGACAAAAGAGAATCTTAACGCTAAGAGAAAGTATTTGACTTTCTGACTTCTTGCTAAGAAAAGCTTTTTGGTCTGTTATTGAGGATATAAACAAATGATTATTGTAATTGTTCCCTATATTGATATTTATATTGCTTAGTCTGACACAAGGGCAAGGGGAGGAGTGTGAAGTTAAGATCATGATAGGTCAAATGGGTAACTCATTAGGAATACCAGGCGGTGTAATTAATAATGGTTTGAAATTTTTAATTGGAGAGCTGAGTTTCAATACCAATTGGGTTTGTTATATTCACTTACATTACCTTAGAAATGTTATAAATCCACTCCCCCAGCTATGGGTTAATTAGTATCACTAAATTATTATTATCATAAAAAAAAAGTTTTTACAATTTAAAAATATTTTCTGGCTTTAAATAACCTGCAAAAGGTTTTTTATGCAAAAAAACCTACATAAGCCATAGAAAATGAATTGATCAATCAGTCATATTAGGAAGGCATGCCTCAAAAACAGTTTTTAAGAAAATGGCCTTTAGCTATACTTGAACACAGATTCAAAATGCTACTTTCTTAGTCAATATTTATGACAAAAAATAAAACCTGAATAGGATTTTTTTAAACTATTTTCTTCCAAAGTAAAACATTCCTTGACTTTTATGTTAATTCAGACTACCTTGCTTGAAATTTTTTGTTAAGATAATGGCTTACATATATAATAAATTTATAATATGTAATCATGACGAAATGACTAATTCTCTCGTATGGTTAATGGATTAGATCTGTATATAAAATGGAAATGATGAAGCATATTCACCTAGAGTCACACAGATGTCATGTTTGATGATTGTGCTTAATGAAAATAAAGAAACCCATTGTTGTTTAAAACATGTCACATTCAGTATTAAAAGACAAAAATAAAATGTAACTTCCTCGGGTAGGGCAGGGTAACAATTTCATTATATTTATATAGACACCAATGAGAAGGGATGATTCCTATCTAAAAACAAAAATCTACCCATCACCTCCTTGGATAAGGGAGGTGGTGTTGTGATTAAGGATCTCAGTACTTATAATGAAAAACAGAATCTGTATGAAACAATAGAAATGTTTATGAAAAATTGAAGAATATAAAATCAATAATTTTAGGTGCTTAATAGAAGAGGGAAATTTATCTTTTTGAGCAAATTTTCCAACCCTACAACCACTCAAGAATATTAATGCTCCTCTATTTATTAATTTTGCACTTTTCCCTTCAAAGCTCAAAGCTCAGGAGACAGTAACAGTTTAGTTGAAACGTTGTATTTGCATACTTTTATGATTGCATTGTTTAAGAAGCTCTCTATTTTTCTTTCCTATAATTTCCAAAATTACCATTCTTTGATGAATTTAATGTCTTTTTTTTAAAGTTTCTTTACTTAAATTTAAAATTTTTGACCTTTTAAATGATTTTTAAACTCTACTTTTATTACGATCAACTTGTTTATAATATATGGAGAAAATTTCCGACGCTTCCCTAAGACGAAAACAGAAATTCGACCATGCAGTCAAAATGCATTCTCAAGTATAGTGTGACTTTTTATGGTCAAATTTTTATGCAAAACTTCTTTTTTTTTTTTAGGGGGAGGGGTTAAAATTCATGCCTAAAAAATTTAAGGGGCATGCTATATGTGAAGTTACCTTATAGACGAGTTTATATGGTATCTGTCTATATCTCTGAGATGAGGTATTATGATTACTTACATTATTTACATTATTATCCTCATCATTCTCATATTCACAACATATGCTCTGGCCTTCTGCAGGTGATTGGAATTTTGAACCAAACCCTTTATTTCGTCCACCAGAGAAAATTGTTCTAGTTCCACATGCCATGCCTCTTCTGGATGTCTCAGTTATTTCCCTTTAATTCAACTCTCCAAGTCGCCATATGGCCTAGTGGATAAAGATGTTAGTTAGATTAAGTGACTAGACCCAAAGAGTTGTGAGTTCAATACCAGGCCACAGCAGTAGTGAACCAAACTTGGAGAGTTGAGTTAAAGGGAAATAACTAAGACATATGGAAGAGACATGGCACGTGGAACTAGAAGAATCTATCTCGGTGGACGAAATAAATGGTTTGGTTCGAAATTCCAATCACCTGAAGAAGACCGAAGCATACAACGGCCAAAACATTGTGAATATGGCAATGAAGATGAGGATCACAGTCCAAATAATGTAAGTTTATATGGTATGAAAAAACGAAGACAAAACATGGGTATGGTTAATAGAATATCATCCTAAGATACCTCAAGTCTATGGCTTAGCAAAATAAAAAGCTAACCCAATATTCCAGTCTCCAGTAAAGGTAGCATTCTTAACAAATTATCAAAAGAACTAGTAAAAATGTTAATACCACTTTTAGGTTAAACATCAGTTATAAATAAATCAAATCTCTTTTTATCTTAATATTCTGATGGTAATGTGAATGAATCATGGAAAGATTTATCTGCAAGAAAATATTACTTCATTATTGAAAATATTGACTCAGAACATTTGTAAAGAAGTTGAATTTTGCACACTCTCTTTTAAGTATTTGGGTGTGGGTAGGAAATGCTTTACCACAGGTGTAGTTTGAAACACTTGCAACACTGTTTCAAGAATATTGCCTTGAAACAGATTTAATCTTTTCAAGCTACATTCAATGAATTCTATTCCTAGATAAAGTTGGAAGTTTTCAGATATTAAATTTTGTTATCAAATAGCATCACACTGAATCAGTATTTATTACAGATAAAATTAATGTCAATTCTTTTTACCAAGTTTGAGTAGAAACACCAGCCAAAATGGTTTCATGTTTGGTTTGAATTTGATTCTGATATTCTTAATTTCTTTCTGTTAAATTGTTTCCAAATAAATTTGCTGAAATTTAGTTTTCTGAGGCACCAGTTTTGAAGAAAATCTACAGATATTTTCAATCTACAGATATTTTCAATTTTCTCTCCCACTTTCTTTACTTCTCTTTCTTCTACTTCCTCTCCCTTCTCCCCTTTCCACCTTTTATTCTCTTGCTTCCTCTTTCTTTCTATTCCCCTCTCTTCTCAGTTTTTCTCTCTCTCTCTCTTCCTTACAAAAAAAATTGACATCACATTTTATCATCAAATTATCAGGGGAAAATGAAGACAATTCAAAATTTCAAAATATTTTTTTGTGTTTCTTTCAAGTCTTCACAAGTTGTTTTTTTTAAATATTTTTTCTTAAAATGGTTTTATTTACTGCTTGTGGTTAAATATAGAACTTAGGATTTATCTTAAACATCAAGAGTGGATCTGCAGTTTTTTGCCCTAAAAATGAAATATCAATTTCTTATTTCTTTACCCATATGACATATATATATATATATATATATATATATATATATATATTTCTTTATCCATAGGACCAAAATATTGAAAAATAACTTGTTCAGTTCTAGCAGCTTAAACTCAACCCATTCTTGCAGTATTGTGAAATATTTTGTTAATTTTAATGCTGCCAAAACAAGAAACTGCTCTCTCTTAATTATCATAGAGTTTCTCTTTTGTCTTCTCTTATCATGGCAGATGCTAACCTCCAATAGCAAATAATTAGACTTTCTTGTTTCCACATTTTCGACTGATATGAAGTGGAATGATTATATTGAATCACAGAATTTATCTGACACATTTATAAGTTTACCATTCGCTCATACATCAAAATATTGCTGCCATGTCTAATCTGGTTCGTCTGCTCTATATCTAGAGATTCTTGACAAAACCCAAAGAAGAATCTATAACATTATCAGTTCTGGCCTGGCATCTTGGCTTCAGTTACTTCCCCACCAATACAACATAGCTTCTCTGTGTCCTTTTCTATAAATATTCCCATGACAATTGTTCTTTGGTACCTTGACTTCATGAATTTGAGCATAGTACTAGATTGGCAGATAGGTCCCATCACATCACTGTTTAAATTGCTAGATGTAACCTTAAGTTCTATTCTAATAGTTTCTTCTCTTGCATTTCTCATTTGTGGAACTCTCTTCCATCTTCTTATTTTCCTGTTGACCATAATCTTCAAAAATTTAAATGCAATATCAATTGTCATCATCATGTCTCCCTAAATACTGTTCCCCTTATTGTCTTTTCTCAGTTTCCTTCAATTTCAATAAATCCTAGGCTTTATTGTCTTGCTTGCGTCTTGTACATCATACTATTTTTGTAACATTCTCCCCAGGTGTTTTAAATTTCCAATTCTAATCAATTAAAATGAAACCAGGAAGCTGTATAAATGTAGGTTGGAGACATCTATGCAGCTCTTGTAACAGTTTCTATTCTGTGCATGAAATATATATATATATAAATCCTTGTTAAAATCCAAAGAAGAATCTGTAATGTTATTGATCCTGACCTGGCATATTGGCTTCAGTCCCTTTCCCACTGCCATAAGGTAGCTTCCCTGTGCCTTTTCTATAAATACTTTCATGACAATTCTTCTGATGAACTTATTACTATGATACCTGAGACTTCATGAATTTAAACGCAAACTTTGTGCATTTTTTAACAATCTTGAATAGCCTGGACAGCATGCTTGCAACTTTAACCTCATTTCTGTATCCACCGTCCTGTAAACTAAAATGCTGAAAAATACCTAGACTTTATAAATTCAAGTGCAGTACTAGATTGGCAGCTACTCATCATCATTTTACAGTTGAAATGGCTAAATGGAACCGTAAGTTCTATGCTAACTATGTTTCTTCTATCGCACTTCTCACTTGTGGAACACTCTTCCAGCTTCTTGCTTCTCAGTTGACTTTGATCATCAAAAATTTAAATGCAATTTCAATCATTATCTTCTGTCTTTTTAATTCTTGTTCTTTTATTGTTCTCACTCCTTAATAGTAGTTTTTCTCATATTCTCACATGCAGAACCCCCTTGCATCCTTGTGGCTTTATTGCCTTGTTTAGGGTGAAATGATTAAAAAAAAAAAAGAAATTCAGATATTATCAACTATCTTAGCTCAAAATTTACATTCTTCTCTTTGTTTCTCTCTCTTGTTCACCTCTTCCCCCTCTCTTCTCTTCCCTCTCTTTCTCTTCTCTCCACTCACACTTTCTCCCATCCTTTCACTCCATCTTCTCTCTTTTTCCTTCCTTCTCTCTCTATCTCATGTTGTATCTTTCTTTCTTCTCTCCACTTCCACTTCATCCCTTGTTCTTTCTTTGCATTCCATTCTATATCCTGATTTCCTTCTTTCACTCCCCCATCTCCACCCTCATTCTCTTTCTTCCCTCCCCCAGTTTCCATCTCCTTTGTCCTCCTCTTCTCTCTACCCCCTTTCAATCCATCTTTTCTCTCAATATCTCTCTTCCTTCTTTCTCTCTCTCTAGGATGTATCTTCCTTCTCTCCACTCCCACTTCTTCCAGGGTAACCTGTCTTCCTTCTCTACATTTCAACTTCCTTTTCTCTTTTGATAAACCTCTTCCTTCTTTTCATCCCATATTCACTTCCTTCCTTTCTCCATCTTCTCCCTCCTCCTCCTCCTTCACCTCTGTCCCCTTCCTCTGTACTTCTTTTCTTTCCCCCCCCACAACCTTTATGAATCATCAGCTCAAGCAAATGATACTAAAGAATTTTGCTTAGAATCTCTTGTGATTCCAAAATCTGTTTGTGCCATCCAACTTCAGTCAAGTCACAAATGATCCTTGCTTCCAGCCAAAAAGAACAAATTTTGTTAAAAATAATCTAAGATATTTTTCCCCCAAAGAACTGTCAGATTTCTGACTCTGTAAAACACAAATTTGACCTCAGAATCAAATTGAGAAACCTACTTGGATGAGATCAAACGGTTTTGTGTTTTTTTTTATTCGTTGCTGACATTTAATTCAATCCAACCATAAAACCTTCAAATTGCCGGTATCAGTCTTCTGCTGTAACAGTGAATAATTTCTAAAAGCCATTCTCTCTAAGATAGCATAAAAGTCTTTTAGTGGATCTTGGCACTTGGCCTCCAGTCAATTCCTCTTTGGCTTTTTCTGTTCATTTTTATCTAATATTGTTAATACATAACTTATATTATGAGATATGCTGAAAAGCTTTCAACCTAACCAAGAGATTCCAAAATAAATTCTGGTATTTGGTCAAATTTTAGGATATTGGTTGGGCCAAGAACTTTTTACCAACTCTCATATATACAATATATAAAAAATATATACATAAAAAAAAAATTCAAAAATATTTTCAAAATATACAATTCCCAACATCTCTTATTCATGTATAGTTGTATTAGTGTAGTCTGATGATCTGGGGGACAAAATGCATCACATGGTGGCTTTTTCCACTTTTCCATACATCTTTCCTCCAAAACAATATATAAAAAACAGCCTTTAATGCCTATTTGATAAGCAATTCTCATTTTCTGCTGATAATAATAGGTTGCTATCAGGGATTTTACAAATACTCAGTTGACCAGAAGAGGAAATATTCTTTACTCAGAGAAATTCAAAAATATTTGCTTCAACTAATAAGATTATTCTTACAGATATCAATAATCTGTAAAGAGGATTAATCTTGCTATCTTTAAAAAATCTGGATTAGAAACAGTTCAAGAGTGATTTACGAGGAGAGGAAAGGGTTAGCTTTCATTTCAAATCTGTTTTCTTTTTACTTTACAGTTCTTGGAATTCCTAACTTATTGCATAAAAATTCTACTTGAAGGCCAAAAACACTGAAAAGATAAAATATTCAATTTTTACAACTTTCTTCAGAAATCCCAATGGATTTGACAGGTTAAATATTCTTGGACTGTAATTCTGAGTTGTAAATTATTTTGAAACCATTCTCTTTGACTTTAAGAGATGTAGTATGCACTGGGATCACTTCAGGTGATGATGGATTAGACTTTACACTCAGTGTCTTTCAGAGAAGCCAGGTGCATTGGTGGGTTTACCTGAGAGATGACTTCTGAGCTACTGAATACAGATCCACATGCCTTGCGCAGGTGCACCTAGTATGCACATGTGGGAACAAACTGTATTACAGAAAGAAGAAGGTCAGTCAGTAACATACATCACATATAAGAATGTAAGGTCCACAGTCAGATGAGAACCAAGAGCCACACACACACGTACAATGGCCAACAGTAATGTTACATATGAGATATTCACTCTTGTTTTTTTTATTTATCAGTATGACAATAACTCATTATAGATTCACACACTCATATATAATAAAATATAGTTTCAAGGTATGTAAAAATTTATGGGTTAAAGTGCTTAGTATCATGAACAGAGCATATGTAAATATAAAAATGAACACTGAAGTAAACACACAGAGAAAACTGTTTCATGCTAAACACAATTGTCAGGCCATGTATGTTGTCTTTTTGTTCAACTATTTATATACACAGGTCAGTGATGCATTGTGGGTAGGTTATTGTATTGCATTGTGGGTAGTCAGTTATATTATTCTAACAGTTATTTTGGTGGCATTAATGATTTTGAATTATTCTGGGAGCTTTTGAGTGGGAAAAAATATTGGATTTGAATGTAGTTTTTTGACTATTTTTAGTGTTGTTAGTTGACTTTTTTATTTATTATTGTTTTTTTTTCATTGTTGGTTATTATTACTGCATTTTCTTGTGTGTATCTGTGTGTATGTGGTTTGTTAATTTATTTATTATTTACTTAGTTTATTTACTTATTTATTTGGATTAATTTATTTTACTTGTCTTTGTTTATTTTTGTTTATTTTTATCAGTATTTTTCCAACTCTCCTAACTAAAACTCGGTCAACGTAGCTTGTACATAACACTGAAGATGAGCCACCCCTATTTGTCCAAGTCTACACTACCACCTGGGTAAGCTCATTCCTGAACTTATTGACAAAATCCAGCCTGTTGATTAAGTTCCGAAATGGTTTTGCATCCAGGTTGTTAGTAGTCAATCTAGTTCCTGTATATCAAGATCAACGACAGTATTCTAGTCACTCACTGAAAGTACTGTCCAAGATGTCATTAGATATGGATTGATTCACCAAAAATAAAAAAAGCCGACTGCCCCCTGGAGTTGTTGGGCACATAAACCCCAATGAAACGAAAGACCTGATTGTTTATGGTAACATTCACGGCAGAAAGCCTGCCCACCAGATCCTCAAAAACAAATTGTGTTTTTCCTCGACTATTTATATATAAACATCAGTGATGTATTGTGGGTAGTCTATTGCATTATGGGTAAACTATTGTATTATTCTAATGGTTATTTTGGTGGGCGTTAAGGGTTTCAAATTATTCTGGGAGCTTTTGAGTGGGAAAAAATACTAGATTCAAATGGCTATTTTTAGTGTCGTTCGTTGACTTGTTTTTATTTAGTATTTTTTTTCATTGTTGGTTGTTATTACTGCATTTACTTGTGTTTATCTGTGCAAATGGAGTTTGTTAATTTGTTTATTATTTACTTAGTTTATTTACTTATTTTACTTTTTTTTTTAAGCATTTCACCCCAAACAAGGTGGGAGTGCCACTAGCACGCAAGGGGTTACAGAGAGTGAGAGTAAGAGTAAAGAGTGGTGTTTGAGGAAAGGATAAAGAGAAGGATGGGGGATCAGGATCAAGGTATCAGAAGATGTCAATTGACATTACATTTGAATATTTGAAGATTATAACAATCAGGGAAGCCAGTTACAAAGAGAATAACATAGGTGCCAAGATGGATCCTTGTCTTAGTCAGGACTGGAAATTACTAGCACAAAAGGGGTTACAGAGAGTGAGAGTAAGAGTAAAGAGGGGTGTTTGAGGAAAGGATAAGGAGAAGGATGGGAATCAGGATCAAGGCATCAGAAGATGCCAATTGACATTACATTTTAATTTTCGAAGATTATAGTTATCAGGGAAGGAAGTAAGTGGAAGGGAGTTCCACTGTTGAGAACAAGCTGTTGGAGTAGAAGAGGCACTTACATTTAAATGTTTTGACAGTAAAAGGTTGGGACCGAGATGCCAAACAATAGCTTGCTTAAATTCATGCAGTTGTGGTACTAGTGAAAATATCTTGTCAGAGCAACTGCCATGAAAATATTTGTAGAAAAGACAGAGGTAAGCTACAGCATGTCTGTGCGAAAGTGACTGGAGTTGAGACGTCAGAACAGGACCTATCACATTGCATATCCATCTTTGGATTTTGTTGAGGGCCTCTGGATGAACAGCGGGAGCACCAGACTATATATGGCACTCGTATTCAATGCAAGGATGAATGGTAGATTTGAATGATGGACTGAGATGAGAAAAGCCTTCTGGCACAACACAGAAAGCCAACTTTCCTTGCGGTAGATGTAGCTATTGATTCAATGTAGTTGTTCCACCTCAGGTCAATGGAAAACATGAGACTAAGAGGGCATAGAGAGACGCTTTCATGAAGTTGAATGGGCTGATTAAAAACCACATTCCAAGGGATGTCACAAAGGAAATCACGGAATGAGTCCCAATCTTTGCATTGATAACAGAAAGATATTTTGTTAGTAGGAGGTTCTTGGGTGGAGGGGGAGTGGAAGGAGATGTTAATAGACACTATGGCAGGATCAGAGTTGCCAAGAGGGCAGAGCTGTATAGTGCAACAAAAGTCAGGGATGGAAGTAAAACAGATCGAGAAGGGAAAGTTAACTACTTGTGTGAGGGATTGAGTGATTGAAAAGTTAAGGGGTTTGTATGCCAGCAAGGTCAGTTATAGTGTGTATAAGCCACATGGTATGTCGGGCATTAAAGTCAATGAGCTCGAATATGTGTCTAAAAAGGAGCAGAGAGATGGCCTTGTCTATATTATCAGAAATGCTATCGAGTAGTCTTGAGAGGTAGGGGAACGATAGAGAAAGAAGAGATAGCTTACTGAATTGAGGAGAGATAGAGGAAGACACATATATTAATGGTCTGGAGATTCAAGAGAGAGTTCCCAGCGAGAGATGATCGCAGACAGACTTGGTTTTGTTTATTTATTTTATTCCATTTATTTTTGTTCATTTTCAATTTTTAAACAATGTAGTAAAAATTTGTTTTTGTGTCTGTATTTTGAGATAAGTTCTGATCTTTTATCTAGTAGTTTGTTTTAGTCTGAGAAAGTAATTATAGCTATTTTTCCTCCAGGCAGAATTTACATTTTTTGTATTGATTGTTGTAAGCTGATATTGTCTCCCTTTTTGTTTTTAATCTCCAGATATATTTAGAAAGCATTTTGCTGTTCATGTATTTACTATTTGTAAAGTATGTTTTGTGTGTATAGTTTCTTTGTTTCCAGGGTACTTCAGTTATTTCTATGTTATTCCTATAACTTTTCCTTCTTTTCTTTGTTGTCTTCTGATTTTAAAGTGGCTTGGTATATTACATTGTTCTGCAAGCAATTGCTGTTTAAGAAACATTTGTTCTTTGTTCTATTTGGGTTTAATTTTTTCAGGTGGTTTTCAATATTTTTTCCAAGATTGTTTTCCTGTTATGCTTTTCTATTATTTGTGTCATGTTCTCGGTGCAACTGTAGTTGATTTTTACTGTGTTTTTGTTGAATATCTTGTGGAAAGTGCTTGATGCAGGGAAGTGTTTGTGTATAAGTTTAATGAATATTTTTCTTATCTTTGTTTTTAAATTTTTGTTGTATGGTGGGTTA